CAAATACAGCGCGAAACAAACCTATCTGGACACCTCACTATTTTGGCTTAGTTGATGGGAGCTGTGTGTCGAGCTTGCCAGTTGATTTTGAGCTGAAACACCACTATTATACAAGTTTACGGGTGGAAAAACCCGAAAATTTCAGGAAGCTTTTAGTTTTTTTTATTTTAGAGGAAGTCTTCTTTGCAAAAAAAGTATGGGGAAAATGATGATTGAAATTGACTTCGAAACCTTTCGAAAAGTTGTACCTTGTCCCACGAGTTGCCATGTTTCGCGTGCGAATTCCAGCCTTGCGTTTTGTGTTTAGCTTTTAGACGGGCGCCTTTCTCATTACCTCTCGTGTTATGTGCTCGTTTGATCGACTGGACCGATATATATTCATCCTCGAGACCGCTAATCCCTTTTGAAGCACGAATTTGATTCAGAGATAGATAGAATTTGAGGCCATCCGAGCTATTCTTCTGCGATCTTGAGCTGTTAAGCATCGAGGTAGTCCCACTATTCAAGCTGAGCGGTTAGCACCGGGATTTTGAATGTATTTTCCAATGCATGTGGCAGATCGTCGAGCTGACGTGCGATTTGTCTATTCGAGTGTCCGGCTTCATAAACAGCCCTGATTTACGCTTGGCTTGTTCTTATTCAGAGAGAAGCTTTCACGTACAGGCATGACGACACAACGGTTATTTCAAAAATGGCCGGAAACGCCTCGGGATTTTCGCGCCAAAGTCGGATCTAACTCGGGTGTCCACATAATTTGTTACAGAGAACACTTTTAAATCAAATCAAAACAAAGTAAGAGCTACTTGAAAATTGCAAAAGAACAGGTACTAGGTTTTCGCATCGCAGGATTCCAACAGTATACGTTTTATTGCTCAAATTTCGCTGGCAAGCCCGGTGGGCCGAAATATTGGGGTGCCCACATGCTTTTGTTACGCACTGTAGTAGTGGCTACGGTGTACGCTTTTTGTGTGAAGGATGCGACCAAACAATTTTAAGTTTCGATTCCTGCATGTTATGTGTTTCAGATTATTTACGACAATCGAGGAGCAGAAAATCAGAATCAGCAACAGACCCAGACGCAAAATCAGAATTGGAATCAACAACAGACTCAGACGCATAGTCAAAACGGGAATCAGCAGCAGACTCAGACGCAAAGTCAGAATGGAAATCAGCAGCAGACGCCAAGAGAGGGAATGCAAGAAAACGATGATAGCCAAAGGGTTCAACAGAGGCCAAACCAGATGCGGCAGAGCAGCAGAGATATATGCCCTAGTTTGCAGAATGCAGAGGTAATATGACTCTCGCTAGCAAAGCTGAAAAATTACCTCTAAGATCTTTTGAAATTGCTGACTTCTCCCCGTTTTATGACAAGGAACCAATAGATCGAATGTTTGTTAACTTCTGTTATTTCGCCGCAGCACGCTATCCGAAAGTGCCACAAGGTTGGCGGGTTATGGAAAAAACTTTGGCGAACGAACGGGAAACCGGGGACGGTCAAGTCGTGCGTCCGAGGACGCGCGCGGCATATTGCGCGGCGAAGTTCGTGACAGTTTGAACGACCCTGACGCCAATTTTCGGGGCACAAACTCGAAGTAGACTAGTTTAGCAGGGTCGGATTATCCTTCTGATCTACTCTACTTCAAATTGGGGCCCCAGTGATAGGCGCTAGAGTCGTTCAAATCGTTACAAACTTCGCCGAACAATTTGCCGCGCGCATCCTCGGACTCACGACTTGACACATACCCACGGGAAACCCATACTTCGGGGCCTCGGTAGTGTAAGGCTGGCACAAGTACAGGTTTGAGTCCCGTCCGAGGTCGAAGGTTGCCCATAACTCTTTAAGCTCGTGATCGAATAGAATTTTCAGGAATGAGACTCAGCTCATAGAAATTTGTTTCAGAGGTATATAGTTCGGTGGTAATACTTTGCGATCATATGGTCGCAGCAGATGCTTAAGAAGTTCTCTAAAAAGTTTCAAATGTTTCTATGGGAACAGAGAAAATAAAAAGAGAGGGTAACAATCAGCTGGTTGGAGCCCGTTAAAGCTTTGACTATCGCTGGACTCATCTTTAGAATCGATGAGGCATTTGATTTCTAACAGGTGGGTGTAGTACGTGCCGTAGGCAATTTGTGTTCTCGGACTATAAACGATCTATTCTTCCAATTTTATCAAATCACAACTAAGCCAATCTGTTCAGGTGACGTTCTTTGTCCCTTATGATGCCGAAATTCTACTTTCATATGGGAGGCTGTTGCCGAAAAATGGTAATAATTTTGAATTCGCGCTTCTGAGCTCAACTGATCATGACGCATTTATATTCGTGCATCTGTTCGACCGGCATGGAATACACCTTCGATGGATCATCGGCTAGCAACAATCCGTTGCAAGATTCGATTGGATCGTATTACTGTGCGAATAATTCCAACCTGTGTGTCCAGGACGTATTTGGTCGACAATGGCGTCCGGCTCGTGCAGACAACCTCATTACATTAGTACCGGTGGCCAAATGTATAGGCGGAGGTAAGAGGCATTCAGAGGTTTTGTGGGAATGTTGGTTAAAAAGATTGGCAACATCGGATAGGAAGGTTCGAAATCTCATTCAGAATCACACGATTCCTGCATAATTATGGAGTGGGATCGGGATCCGTAGGACCCAATAGTACACCCATNGGACCTTCATAATGATTTAGATTCTGTACACTGGATAATTCATTCCAGAACCATTTCAAGTGGGCAGTGTGCAAGCTGACTGAACCCTAGTCACTGCGTTACCTCCAAAATTGGCATTCAATCACTTTGACGAGCAGGAACCGTACAATGTCATGTACAGGAATGCTGTTTTCATCGTTACTTTACTATCCATACAAGCAGACCGTGGAAATCATTGGGAAAAATGCTGGATGGAACATCTGCTAGGGGCATAGTATAACTGCGCTAACCCAATACTCATCCAACAATTAGAATAAGCGAGCCATAGTCTGAACTCCCTGGACGTCAACCAACTCCCTTCTTCGATATAGGCCCCTATTCTGTGCTCGTCGGAATCCCAGCATCGATTTTAACGCGAATGAGGCCTATACAACGCTCGAGGTTTCACAGTCCATTTTCAAAATGTAATGGTTCTTTTGGGCCCTCAGACGAATATGATAGCAAATGATTACTCGAGATGACGATGGGCCTGCTTAGCTCACTCTTTTCAGGCCAACAATGCGCAGTGTTCTTGCTGATGGTCGCCTCCCGCCCATCACTTGAAGCTGATTTGGTCTCGGGGACAGAAAGCATTCGTTATAGGGACATGGTCGCTAACAACACATTCATCCCCTTCAGCAGCCACGTATACCTTCCTATTCAAGGATTTTCTTGCAACTCCTGTGCGGAGCCTTATTGCAGGATACCAGAACTTTTCAGAAGGCCTTAAATAAGCGACTCAAATTTCCATGTCATAAAAACTTTACTGATTGACCACTCGAGATAACTATGCTATGTATAGGTTTCTCGTTATTTATTTTGACTGACACCGAGCAATGCGGACTAGCGTCCTTCTATCTCCTATTATTTATTAGACATTTGTTGTTTTTCTTCATGGTTGTTTGGACATAGATTTACCATTATAGGAAGGAAAATTTCAGCGCCGCTGCCCCCTGGGAGCAACGCAGACTAGCTAAGCACTTCATTCCTTGAGATTATCCTAACAGTAACGAAGTTATTTGAGCTGACAAATTGATGACCTCTTTAGAACTTCGAAAGCAGGTGCTTCCCGATCAGCACCGAAATTTCGCCATGCATCGTTCTCCTTTTTTTACCTTACCACCCTCCTGCCAAAGGGTTACCCACCCACATCAGTGATTTCCAGTTTCTTGATTTGGTAACTATGCAGTTTCTCATCATTCTATAATAAACGGATAGAAAGCAACGGGAGTGGGCATGATCTCTGAGAACACGGTCACTCTGCTTCTTGTATTTTTGAAGACTGAAATTACAATTTGTTGTTTGTAGCCCCCTTCTCATCTTCGTAAAAAAACCCTCATAATCATTTTATCTCGGAACCTCTCCATAGCACGTTTCTGCGCACCGTAGCAGTGTTACTAAGTTGGAATACTCGATACTAAATGAGCTAGTTTGAGAGGCATCCTTTTTCCTCAAAATTTTCTAACGCATGGAATTCGCAATTTCTGGGTGATCGATATGTAATTCCAATGTCACATTATGGAAAAATATTTCCCGGTTTTCTTCAACATTTATTAGACGAGCATCGGCTGTCTGTTGTTCATTAACGTCTTGTTCCGTCCTCAAAAAAGATTCCGCCATCAATGGCGCAATATTTCGGACAAATTCCCTTCTCGCCATCGTTGCCTGAATTACCGGGTGGACCGGGAGCACCAGGTTTACCCTCAGGACCAGGCGGACCATCAGGACCATTTGGCCCTTTCGGCCCTGGTTGACCTACAAAAGATTTTCTTAACATAGTCTGGAAAACAGGCAAGTAGTTCTTTCTTAACTCACCTGGTGCTCCATTGGCTCCTGGTTGTCCTGGAATACCTGGTTGACCAACTGGACCTTCATCTCCAGGAGGTCCAGGTTCTCCTTGAATAGCATGGCCGGGAATCGCTGGGGTTCCAGCTTCTCCCGGTGGTCCTTGTATACCAGGCTCTCCAGGAGGTCCCGGAGGACCTTTGGGTCCTGGCTCTCCAGGGGTGCTGAACAGACCAGAAGCACTTTCGCACATCTTGTTACAACTTTTACAATTCTTACCCGTCATTTCCATTCCTTCCAGGCTGTCCAACTGGTCCAGGCTCTCCGATCGGTCCAGGCTCTCCATTAAGACCAGGTGGCCCAGCGGGACATGGTTTACACGGGGGTAGTGTGATTGGCTCGCACAAAGCATCAGATGCTTTACCTGGCATACCCGGCATCCCTGGCGCTCCATGGTTGCCGTTCTTTCCAGGCCTACCTGGTCGCCCAGGAGGACCAGGTGGGCCAGGATTGCAACATGGCTGGCATGCTTGGGCCGCCTCTCCAGCAGCATAAGAGTTCTGACGAGCGATACGAGTGTGGTTGGCTGGGGCGTTCTTCAATGTGGTGACTTCGTGCCAAATCTCTTTTGCATGGTTCTGTAAAAATCACAGAATCCTCAAGAACATTCGAATTTGAGGACCNCAGGAAAACGAACCGAAAGCACTGCAAGGACGGAGAATGTGATGGCCGAGTAGGCCACCGCCTTGTAGGCCAGGGTACGGCTTTCGAATTCCATTTGTGGAATCGTCTCGCCAAATGAAAGACTGACTTTTATACAGCTCGAGTAGTGACTGGTTTGCAGGATCTTTGTAAGATTTGGGCGAAGATACAAATGGTGAAAGTATGCGCAAGTTTGATCAAGAGATATTCTAGGTCTTTCGATTGTGGGAGTTCCTGTATATGCGATTGCGGAATTTGATCGGGAAATTCCATAGCTCTGAGTTTTCCTTTCTCTAAGGAATCTTTGAAACGACACCGTCGTAACTCTGAAGATAGGGCGTACACCAATGGGTAACGTTAGATCATTTGCCGCTATCGACTCTGCTTTATTGAGTATTTGAATATTGCTTCAGATATTCTCGATCAAAAGGAAGTGCCAGAAGTAAAACTTTTAAATAGAAGCCTACTTAACAACAAGTACTGATTTTCCTTTTTTCGAGTCTTAGTCACAAGATAGGTAAGCTGAAGAGATACATAGGCTGCTGATTAGCGTAGTAGTGTAATGTAGTGAAGCACTGAGGCAGTGAGGAGTGGCCGGTTAGTGTTCGTTTCTTCAATATAGGGAGGCATCAGTAGAAACTTCTTCAAGAATTTCGTTGCTAAAAGGACTACGGCTTAGCAAGACGTCTTCGATTGCCTGGTTAAGCTTGTTTAAAGATCACACATAAACTCAGACTTAGCTGTGACCCTTTTTCTTTCGATGATTCTGTCGTAAGGGTACTGTCTGTTTGCGATAAAAATGTTGGTGTACAGACCAGAAAGGTCGTTGAGGAGTAGAATGTTTTATAAAACGACTCTATGCCGAACAGTGAACAAGTAACAACTGAATCACTCGTTGATATATTCAGTTTTGCTGGCCGTTATCTTTCCTTGAGTCAAACTAATAAGAAAGGAGTTTCAGTTGGTGAAAGAACATAGCAAAAATGGTCAGGAATTTAGCCTCAGTGGAGAGCGAAGCACAACCTTCTCGATGTGCTCCTAGACAATTCCAGAGTCTAAAAGCTATCAGAAAAGGCTTCGGCAATGGGACGAAAAAATTGTTTCCTCGATTAGTGTGGCAAGTGTTTCGTGTGCGCAAGTTTTGGCAACGCGACATTCAAACTCATGTTGGAAAAAAGTAGGCAGTGCCACAATATACATAATTCGAACCACTCCTTTATCACCGTAAAATTTCCGAATTATACCAAAGAAATCAAGGTGAAGCGAGTTTTCCTCTATGTTCCGATTTCAAAAACACTTTTCACTACATATGAGAAAGACTTTTTGCTGTGCAATACATCAAACAGTACACCGAGCATTGACTACAGTATACATACACTATGGGACCGAGTGAATAATGTAAGGTTTGTGGTAGTTTTGGATCTACCTTGATTGGACTCGAACAAGCCAGT